TATATATATATATATATATATATATATATATATATATATATATATAATGTATATTCCATGTTCTAGAATTGTGCTGCTCGGTGTGGCTGCAAGTTGGCGTAGCTCTGTCCCTTTCATTCTGGGATATTGCTTTTGGAAACTTTAATTCCTCTTTTTTTCTTGATGTAAATCGCATCTTTGGTTGAATTTTTCCTCTGGCATCAGATACTGTGCAGCTGGAATGATTTTTACTGAAACCGTTTTACTTCTGGGCATTTGTTATGATGCAAGACCATTGCAACGTTTTTTTTTTTTTTTTTAATCAACCAGGAGCAGCTGATTAACATCTCAAAAGCTTAAATACTTAAACTACAGCCCCAAATCCCAAATGAGTTGAAAAGTAGGTGTCGTGGACGAATTCCCGTCAACCTGGCGGCAGTGCTTGAGTACCTGACTGCCAAGATCCTGGAGCTGGTGAGAAACTCGGCTCGTGACAACAGGAGGACCGTGATCATCCTCCGGCACCATCAGCTGTCTGTCTGTGGCGACGAGGAGCTTGGCAGACTTCTGTGAGGAGCGACCATCGCACAGGGAGGAATTCTGCCTGGCATTCAGGCAGTCCTGCTGCCCAGGAGGACCGAGATGCCCCTCAGATCTGACAGCAAGCTGGATCCAGGTAGTCGGATCGGTATCTGTGGCCAGATTCTTCGGCTTCGCTGTAGGAAATACTTATTACCCACAGCTATCAGCATCTATGACAACTCTTGAATGAAACTAGTATGATGAGCTACAACAACACTTAATTTCGCTGTTATGACAGGTGCTGGCTGTGAGTCACCGCTCACTGCAGCTAGCTGCTGCTAGCCATGGGCCTTAGGCCTCCTCTCGGACCCAGGACCCGCCTCCAGCCCACGTCGCTCCCCCCGGCTCGATCCTCCTTCAGAAGCGACACTCACACTAACAATAAATCAAGGAAATGTGAATTATGTTTTATATTAAAAATATTAAAAGTTTTCTATTAAAATAAAGGCAGGAAAAGGTTCATATCTACAGCGCTGGCCAGTCCGATCTATGATACGATCACAAACTGGAAGGGCTGATGTCCCATGTCATTACTGATTTATAGGGCCTAGACTCCTCCTTCGCAGAAGGGGAGCACAACCTGTCATGTGTTTGAGGGGGTGTGACTAAGTGTGATCTCAATGGATCATACGTGGTTTGACGTGTAAGGAAAAATGAGACGGTGCTTCAAAAGTCTTTCTACGTGATGTAGCAAGCAAAATCCTTGACAGATAAAGAATCACTGGGAGACTCTTTTTAGAGTTGCTGGCCCCACTTAACACAGTCAGAACTGGGTCATAATTTCATT